CCCTAGGCATCTATTTTGCCTTCCACTGTGTACGACCTTTATTATTCTTGGTGATCTATGTATGCCCTGCAAGGACTTTTAGATTTGTTCCAGTTTTCTCATTGATGATCCTGATAGTTCTGGGATCTACATTTAGGTCTTTAATCCATCTTGAGTTCATTTTGTGTCTTCATTTTTGTTTTTGCATGGGGACAGACATATCTCTTGTTTCATTCTTCTGCATATGGAAACACAGTTTGTTCTATACCCTTTGTTGAAGAGGCTGTTTTTGTCCCATTGAATATCTCTGACATTTGTCAAAGATTAGTTGCATGTAATCTGATGCATTTATGCCTGGGTTTTCTGTTCTGATCCATTTGTTTATATAGTTATCTGTGTACCAGGCTGTTTTGACTGCTATAGTAGGTTTTTAGTTCAAGGTGTGGAAGACTTCCTACTTTGTTCGTCTTTTTAAGACGTTTTTTAGCTCATTCTAGGTATTTGGCCTACCACTATGAAATTGGTAATTCGTTTTTCTATTTCTTTAAAGAAAGTACCTGGGATTTGGATTGTATTTGTATTTTTTCCTGTAAATTGATGTATTCCCTTGCTTGCTTGCTTGCTTGCTTTTTTTTAAATTGCCTGACATTGTTTTAATGAGGTTATAAAATACAATAACTTTTTGACAACCTATCTTTTAACACAAATTATTTGCTTTTATTTACACATGCTGTGTAAGATGTACCTTCTTTTGCAAAACCAATAAACACAAGGTCAAATTGTAAACAAACGATTTAGCCAAGATATTTGAAACGAAAAACACCTCTCATTTTTTCTCATCTTTTAAAAAAATCAGTATTCATTCCCTTCCATTTCAAATTATATATTTGAAGGTATGGTTCAACTGTAATATAAGACTGAGACTATTTTATAACTGTTTTTAAATAACTTGATAGTTCTTCCAATGTTATCACTCCTTCCAGAAATTATCATCTTCACAAAATTGCTAAGCTTGAGGTAATTCTAGTGAACTGATTAATGGAGGGAAAGAATCAAACACATATGTAGAAACTTATATGTTAAAATTGTGCATATTAAAAAGACTAAATTTTAAAATATGCAAAAAAGTGAGGGAAAAAACCTGAATTAGCAACTAATCTTAGACACAGAACCTAGAATTATCCAAGGGAACAAAGCCAGCTGCTTCAATAAATGGTGTTGCACAAACTGGATTTCCATATGCAGAAGAATGAAACAAAACCCATATCTCTCCACATGCACAAACAGAACCCACCATGGATTAAAGACCTAAATGTAAGCCCAAGAGCTATCAGGATCATCACTGAGAAAACTGGAACACACTTAATAGTCCTATTGCACAGCATAGACTCCCAGGTATACTAAAGGAAGTACACAAAGGGGAAGATAAAATAGATGAGTGGGACATGCTTAAATTACAACATTTATGCACATCAAACACTTCATCAAAAATGTAAAATGAGAGCCCAAGATTGGGGAAATATTTTTACCACTGACACACGGGGCAGATCTAAATACCAAATTATACAGAACTCTATATTAGCTGAATAAGCAAATAACAAATGATCGAATAAAGAAGTGTGAAGAAGACATGAACAGACAGTTCAACAAAAATGAAGTACAAATGGTTAACAAACACATGTAAGAATTCTCACAATTATTAGCCATCCATAGATACAAATTAAAGGCAAAATGAGATACCATCTCATGCCCATAGTGCAAGCCCAATTCAAAAAATTATGAAAGAACAAATGAGGAGGAGGCTGTGGAGAGAATGGAACGTGAATACACTGTTGACAGACTTGTAAATACATCCAACTATTATGGAGAATGATATGGCACTACTTAAACCAACTGGGAATTGAAATTCTATACCATCCAGCAATACCACTATTAGGAATATAACTTAAAGAAATGAGACACGACACTAGTGGCTATAGGCTCTCTCATGTTTATAGCAGCACAGATCACAATAGCAAGAAACTGGAAGCAGTGAAAAAACTCAAGTTGGAAGAATGGATATATAAACTATGGTGCATACACAAAATAGAATACTATGAGTCTCGAAAAAGCAGTGATGAAAGCATGAAACACTGCATGACCTGAAAGCATGTGGAAACCATTATGCTGAGTGAAGTTCGTCAATCACGAAAGGACAACTATTGTGAGTCCACTACTATAAGGAGAAACACCAATTAAATCTTAGAGACCAATTCCCAAACAAAGCGAAAGAATGTCTACCTACCAGACAAACCTTATATCACCTTTCTTCGATGTACTTCATAAGATCCACCTTGAAAGAGGAGACCTCACATCAGCTGGTGTCACACCTTCAAAAGAGGGGAAATGGAGAAGACCCTCCACTTGAAGCTATACAACAGGGGTGCTCAATACATCAATTGTGATCTACTAGTCGATCGCAAATGTAGTGTGTGTAGATCGCACATGGCACTGAAAAAATAGACATAAGCCTATCATCATTCCCGTCACTTAATTGATACACAGCACAGATGCAAGTCTGGTGTCAAACGCATGCGCAAACAACTGTGCTAAGTGCAGCAAAACTGACAAGCTAAATTATCGCCAATTTTTAGACCTTGATTTTTTTCTCATAAATGTAAGAAAGGATCTTAAAATGAGTAGGGGAGCTGGACCAAGTAAGAAGACAAAAACATATCACTTTCATACGGTATGGGAGATTTTCACACTACAAGCCGACATTCAGCTGAATTAAGAGTTCTGGAACTTACTCACAGAGGGAAAGTACCCAAACATGAGAAAATGTGCTTGCTACTTCCTTGACTGCGTTATTCGGCTCTACTTCTTGATGTGATTCAGCCTTTCCTGTATAAAGATCATTAAGTCCAAGTACCGTTCCACCATGACTGAGGATCATTTTGAAGTGTGCTTAAGGCTGGCTGTCAGCAGTTCCTGTCCTGACTATGCACTCCTGACTCATTACATTTAGTGCAAGTCATCAGAGTAAACTCAGGGAATGACAAAAAATGTACAGAGTTAATTGTATTGTGTTGTGCAATATGGACTCATGCAGTTATGCAAGGTACCTAAACATACATTGTACATATAAAGAATTCCCAATCCAGTTTTGAATAAATATAATAAATAAATATATAAAATATGTTTTGTATTTTTGTAGTTGGCAGGTAATTTTGACTTGATCATTTTATAAGTAGCTCGCATGCTTTAAAAAGTGTGAGCACCACTGCTGTACAACACTGAGACAAATCTGCAATAAATCAACTGGCCCTCCATAGGAATGAGAGGAGAAACTTACTGGAAAATCATGTCAAGACCAGGGGAGGGAAGCATCCACATTTCAGAGGAGGCCCTTACATTTCTGTTGGTGGGTATGGTGGGTAAATGAAGAAGAGCCGTCTCACATCAGAAAGTGATGCTAAACAATAATTGTAGGGAGGCTAAGTGGAGTCAAACCCTGATTATCTGTGTCTGGGTAGATACTTTGAATATGTTTCCAGTCAGATGAAACCTCTGGCAGATCCCCTCTAACCACAGATCAGGGACTCAAATGACTTTACTCTCATACAAAGACGGTTGTAAATTGATAATGAGATCCAAACATGGTATTATATGATAACTGAATGGATGCCATCCATCTTGACCCAATATGAATTTGCTCTGAGCTCAAATGGTTCTCACTGGGTCCACCATAGAAATTTCTTCTCTGGTTTTTAAAAAAGTATTGGTGGTCTTTCATTTCTTACTATTTATTGTTATTTTCATCTTTATTGTATTATTATTTTCTACTTTCTTTTTCATTTTGTTGTGGTTGTTTATTGTTTCTGTTAAGTTTTCCATTTTATTAAGCATAGAAGGAGCGGATACATACAGAAAATAACTGATGGAATGTTTTATGGGAGATGAGAGGTGGGCGGGGTGAGGGGAATTTAAGGGCAAACAATGAATTCAGAATAAAGAAAGGAGGGACACTAGAACTGATTGTGATGATGTATACACAACTTTTGTAAAAAGCTAGTTAACTATGGAAATGTAGGATATGTGAACATTATATCAAGAAATCTACTTTTAAAAATAGCCAAAGTTGTGGAATAGCTGCTACGAATAAAATTGGAAGAAGTTTTATTTGAGGGCATTGAGTGTATGTTAATGTTGGTGGAATAATTTCAAAACGGATATTAATAATAGTTTCACAACATGAAGAGCATAATTAATGGCACTGAATTATCCATGTAGAATTTGTTGAATTGGAGAGTGCATTTTGTTTATATTACGTCTCAATTAAGGTATAATTATATTAATTACTGACTTCAAGAAAGAAGAAAATGTTATAAGATTTACTGTGGTAATGATTGTACAACACTTCTTGATATGATTGAACTATTGCATTTTTGGATGAAGAGCGAATAAAACTGTTTCCAACAAAAAACCTTAATTACAAAATATCAAATGTATTTATTTAATGAGAAAGTAAAATTAATAAACATTAACAACCCTGCCCCCAAATACACACAGGAGAACTCTGTAGTGACTCAGAAAGTGCTCCAAAGCATTTCATATGGCTTGTCAGTTAAATGCAGAGGAGAAAACCACACATAAATGTACAACCTACATTCAGGTGCGCACATTGAACAAAAACATTTTTTTTTCAGTTTCTCAATAGTACTAATCAATCTACAATAAGCAAAAATTCAGAATTATTTTACAATGCATCCTATAGAATCAACTTTTAATACAAATGACGCCTATCTTGGGGGAAAATAATATATATATGTATATATATATATTTTAATAAGTTTACGTTGACATAGTTTACATTATATTGGCATTAATATATGCTATTGCTTCGTGTATTAACAAACTTCCTTTTATTTACCTTCATATATCTAGCTTCCACCTACTAAAACAATTCAGGCTGGCTGGCTACTGTGAAAATTGAATGCAATGGTTTTAAGCACTGGCCATGATTTTAAATACTGGCCAGATCAGGTTTCATTACCATTTGAACACCTGGAAATAGTTACATTCATGCTTAACGTGCCATTTACTGCAAAACACTGTGCAACTAGGATGTCAAAACCTAGGCAGTCACGATTCAAAATGGCTGTTGTAACTCCCTCACGAATAGATCGAGGATGGGATTTCCGAGCTAAACGCCGCCCAGGACAAGTTAGCTCAAGTTGATAATAAAATTTTTCAGCTTGCTCCTGTGTTCCTACCAACAGTGCAAGTGCGAAGATGGGCTCGTCACCATAAAGTCCTATCTGTTTCTCCATTACTATCATGAATTGAAAGCCAAAACAGGATTGTATCATCACCCAGTCCATAGTACCAGGAAGATCAATACCTGGTGCATGGAAAACTGCATTTGGTCCCTCTACGATTGTAATGGGTGTTCGATGACACATCAGATGGGGCACAAGAGCGTCCACATGGCCTTTCCATTGACAGGAAACACCAGGCAGCGGACAGGAATAAGGCCGGAACTCACAGAGCACTTCGTGGGCTGCTTTTTCCTCAGGTGGCAGAGTTTTTTCACATCCAGAAGAGGCATATTTACAAGGGAAGAGTCCTGAATCAGCCACGTTCTCCATAGCCAAGTTGCGAATGGATCCTCCTGCAAATGGGACAACAGGTGAGCGACGGACGGCAGTTGCTAAGAACAAGATGCGCATTCTGACATTGAAGGATGGGTGGTAACACACAGTCAAAGAGGGCTAGACAAGCAAAAAGACTCACCAAGTCCGAGATTGCTGGGGTCAGTGCAGGCACCCTCTGGGATGGTGTACAGTAGGTCAGGCTGTCGCAGTCTGAAGGTTCACTTCCGGGAGTGAGAGAGCCTGGGACCCCGGGCCTCGTTCTAAAGCGCTCTGTCGCCAACAGTTTCGCCAAGTCCCCCCAGCACAGACAATGGAGCCACTTTTTCAAGGTGCTGAGACTGAGGAGACACACTGGGCCACCGAAGGTGACGCTGACCACAACTGCGGTGCTGACGCAGTCCTTACTCCCTTCAGACAGCGGACCTCGCAAAGGCTGCTGGGATTCCAGACAGCGGGCCTCGCAAAGGCTGCTGGGATTCCCTTCTGGCCTTTTCCAGTCTGTTCCGCATCCACACTTCCGCTTAATACCACACACTAAAGCACTGAGGAGCATGCTCATGAGGGGCGTGGTTTAGCTCCCTGAAAGGGTGGGCGGGGAAGAAAATGCTCTACATTTCTTTTTGCTCTCTGAAAGCTTTAGGTCGGATGTCCAGTATGGGGATAAAGACATTTTTGTCTGGCCTCTTGTTTGTTTGTTTTTAATTTTCCCCATTGAGTGTGATGTTGGGTGATAACAGCTTTTATTATGTTGAGGAATTTCTCTTCTATCCTATTTTTTTGAGTTTTTTTATCAAAAAAATGGGTGTTGGATATTGTCAAATGACTTTATATTATCATGTGGATTTTATTCTTTGTCTTATTTGTGTGGTGGATTACATTGATTGTTTTTGGAATTTGATCTTGGTGAATTATTATTATTTTATTATTATTTTGATATGATGTGGCACTCTATTGGCTAGAATTTGGTTGAGGACTTTAGCTTCTATGTTCTCGTTGGTCTATAATTTTCTATCTTTGTGAGGTCTTTGTCTGATTTGGGATCATTGTTATGCTGGCTTCCTTGAATGAGGGTGGGAGTTTGTTGTCTTCTTCTATGTTCTGGAATAATTTGTGTTGCATTGGTGTCAGATCTCCTCTGAATACTTAATGGAATTCCCACGTGAAACCACCTGGTCAGTAGATTTTCTTTGATGGAAGTTTCCCAGAGACAGGCTTTATTTCTTTTGTTATGGGCCTGTTACATTTTTCAATATCTGTCTGCATTAATTTGAGTGTATGATGTTTTCTATCTTTCCATTTGTCCTATATTCTAAAATCTGAATAAACTTTTTCATAATAGTGTGTCATTGTTCTTTTAATTTGATTTGGATCTGCTGGAAAGTCACGCTTTTATTTTGGTGTCTAATAGGACTGAGCATTCTGTATACTTTTGATTTAGGTTAATTATCCTAAAGAAATAGACCTCTGGTAGGTCAGACCTGAGGGGATGGAATTTGTACTTTTCAGATGATGGAGGTGACCAAATGGTGCTGGGGAAATGGAGTCGATGACTGCCCCTATCTAGGTGATCTAGGAGGGAGAGATGAAGCTACTCAGAGAGCAGGTTGGAAATCTGAAAGGTTTCTGATACAATGGACATTGCTCGATCTATTTGGTACCTCAGCTGGGAGCACCCTCTGAGCCATGTTGCTTATGGCCCTTGTCTCATGCAGAAACTTCCTGCCTGTGCTATGTATAGTCTTCTTGGTGGACACCTGCCCACCACCACCCACATTTTGTAGAACGTGTCAGTTTTGTGCATTCTCTGGAGGCCAGGTAATGTGCTTTAAATCTAAGGTATTGACCATTTCTTTAGGGTCTGTGAGCTCAGTTTCAGTTCCCCTGTCTCTGAGCACTCTACTGGTATTGCTATGCTAATGTGTTGTCTGAGAACAATGGAAAAACAAGAGCCTGCAAAGCGCATTGCATTTGGGTGCTGTAAGAAGACAGGCCCTGCAGAGCTGTACCTCTTGGATGGGGAGTTAGTTTTCTTGAGTGGGGCTGTAGTTCCCCTGGCTTGTGTGGGGAGTTAGCTTATTCAGTTCCAGGATGCCCTGTAGTGTTATCCTCAAGTGCCTTGGAAGGCTGTCCTATCCCAGCACTCTGGAAGTTGTGGTCGTGAGAGGACCCGAATGGAGCTCCCTAGGCTTGGGCTGAAAAACTATTTGGTCTTATAGCTTCCCTAGGCTGGTTACATAGAGCTATTTCCTTGCAGCTTTGTTGGTCAGCCAACTTGGCTCTCTTTAGGACTGGGAAAACTAGGTCTGGCAAGTGGGGGAACAGTAATCCTCCAGCTTATGCCAGAATAGCTTATAGGAGAATCTGGTGGCAAGCATTGCTGCTCTTTTACTTAAAAAACAAACAAACTTCTGTCTGCTTATCTTTTTGCTGAGAATATTACTATCTGGAAGTTTAGGATATCTGTCTCCATGCCCCCTTTGTGTGCTGGTCTCTGAGAAGTCCCTCTCAAAGGTGCTACTTCCTCCTCTACAGTTATTTTCTTAAATAGATGAGATCTCAAATACCTGAAATGCCAAGAACCTCACATTTATACATTATGCAGCCCAGTATAAGATAATATAATGATAGAGGCTTTAAAATTCTAGAGATCATATGCATTGGTTTAATATATTAAAACTGAGAAAATAAAATAAAGGGACTCTGTGTACCAAACAAAAGCATCTGGACATTTCATTTAGTTCTCTTGTGATACAGTTTATGACTATTTCATAATCAGATTTTGTGTTTTAATTAACCCAGATTATAGTAAAAGTATCTTGTAATTCATTCGACATTTAGATATGTTAAGTAAAGGCAATATTATACACATTCTTATATTTATCATGGGTCAGTAGGGCAGATGACTTAGCTTTACTCTAATGATAGTACTCTCTGTCCTTGCCTCCAGAGCAATAACCCTAAAGTTAACTGGTATGACTTTGTCTGGGACTTCCAGGTGACACTTGAGGAATTGTGCTGGTGAATGTTGTTGTTGTTATGTGCTGTGTTAGGATGGGCAGACTAGAGAAACAAATTCATGCACATTCATATGTGTATAAGAAAGAAGTTTATATACAAGAGCAATTAAATATGAGAAAACATCCCAGCCCAGTTAAGATCAAGTTCGTATGTCCGATATTAGCCTATATGTCTGATACCAATCTATAAAGTCCTCTCTAGACTCATGAAACACATGCAATGATGTCAAATGCAGTAAGATCACAGGCCAGTTGTTTGGAAGTCTTGTGGATCTAGTGGCATTGTAAGCACCTCAGCGTGGGCAGCTCAGGACACTAGGTAGTTCTATGTGTTTTGTCAGCTGCAATGTCTCCCAGGGAGTGAGTCTGTGTCCTTCCTCCAGCGAGCTATTTATTTCTTTATTGCCTCTAAATGAGGCCATCAAGCTGCGACATGATTGACAGGATAAACTCCAACCCTTCAATCTTAATCCTTCCAAATTAACAACAGATTATATAACTATTACAGGTGCCATTGAGTCAGTTCCAACAGAGTGAAACTAAGTATAACAGAAGGAAACACCCGCAGACCTGTGTCATCCTTAAAATCATTCCTATGCCTGAGTCCATTGATAAATCTTGTCAAGGGCCTTCCTCTTTTTTTGCTGCCCCTCAACTTTACCGAATACGATGTCCTTCTCTAGTCATTGGTCTCTCCTGACAATGTGTCCAAAGTATTTCAGACAAAGTCTTGCCATCCTTGTCTGTAAGGAGCACTCTGGTCTTACTTCTTCCATTACATATCAGTTTATATATCCTGAGCAGTTTATTGTACTTTCAATATTCTTCTCCAGCACCAAAATTCAAGGGTGAATGGGAACTGGCAATAACTAAAAAGGCTCAGTGGGGAAAGCAATATTAATTAGCCTCTAGAGGTATGATTTATCTTATCTTGCAGGACTGACCAATAAAAGTCCAGAACATTCAGACTCAGAGAGCAATTTCCTGAATGAAGGGAGGTGGTATGCTTTCTCTAAAACATGGAGACTATACACTGGAAGTCTGCCAAGACCTTGCTTATGAATCTGTTCTTTATAATCATCCTAATTTATATATTTCTTGTTGAAGGGGCTTTAATTTTGTGTGTGTGGAAAAATGAAGCTAGAAGATAATGGCTCTTTTGCTTGCCCTCTGAGTACACTTTGTATAACTGGCAAGAAGCCCCAGTAGAGTAGTTGTTACACATTGAGTTGTTAACTGCAAAGTCGGCTGTTTGAAGCCACATCTTCATGGAAGAAAGAGAGAGTTTCCCTTCTCTTGTTAAGAGTTACACTCTTAGAAACTCCCAGGTCTACTTCTGTCCTGTTCTATAAGGTTGCCATCAATAAGTATCAACTTGATGGCCATTTTTTTTTACCTAATAGTTGTTAAGTATGAGTTCTGAGCATTCTCTTAGCACATTAATGGACCCAAGACAGCATCCCCTTAACCTACTAGGTTTGATATAGCCCTGTAGACACTAAGGACAGCCAGCCAGAAAGAGAGCCATGTGATGCAAGGGTCAGAAGTGGTTAAAGAATAGGAAAGCTGAAGTATGATTGTTTTTTGCCCACTGGAATTGGTTTTATGCTGATTCTCCTCCATGAAGCTATTCTCATAGGCATATAATGGAAGATACAGACCACTATAACAAACAATGTTCCCCTTATGTGTACCCACTTGGGAAATTTATCTTGGGTTTTTAGCTTCTCCAATTCGGGAAATACTTTATTTTACCATTATATTATGGAACTATTAGATACTACAAATATTTGTTTTGTTTCTTTTCTTAGACAAGCACAATTTATAATTCTTGGACACGAGACAACTCACAGACAAATTTGCGGTCCATCTCTGGTGTTCATACAGGAATGCATGGTATTCTGTACATGGATTTTATTGCAGGCTTTAATTTATTTTACTATCATCTCTTTTCCCATCACTTCAATTTCTGTCTTATTTGCTTTACAATGTTATAGCTACCATTCATCCCATGTTACTGAATAGCATCATCTTATAGAGAAGAGATTGAATATCAGAGGTGAGGTGAATTAGCTTGACCTAGAGGGTCACTATGAGGCAGAATTGTCTTCATAGCAGTGACTGGAGTTGTTGCTTAGTTCACATAAAAACAATTGGAACTCAATTAATCTGGTACTCAAAGTCACATGCTACAGACAATATATTACACTGCCTCCATTCATTTGATGAGATATATTACTCAAACTTCACTTTGTAATTAGACATATATATATATGTATATGTACAATATACATATATTGTATTTAAATCATTTCATTGGGGCCTCATACAGTCCTTATCACAATCAAAACATGGATCCATTGTGTCGAGCACATTTGTACATTTGTTGCCATCATCATTCTCAAAACATTTGCTTTCTTCTTGAGCCCTTAATATCAGCTCCTCATTTTCCCCCTTCCTCCCCATGCCCCCTCCCTCATGAACCCTTCATAATTCATAAATTATTATTATTTAGTCGTATCTTACACTGTCTGAC